TGTTGACCGATGGGGCAATGTTGTTTCTTTTCTTTTTATTTCGTACGCGTACGCCACTCGACGGAATCACATGATCACATGATGCATCACATGATATCAACAACACGTCCGATTGGTTTAGAAAAATCGATCGGGCGACAAAATACGCCGGACACGGGCACACGAGCGAATTTGCCAGTAAATAATCGCCGGCGTAAATAATCGCCCGAAAATATCTAACATTTTGGATGCGGGCGATTCGTACGGGCGATTAAAATCGGTGTCGACGTGAACGGGCACACGGGCGAATTTTTCGAGCGATTTTAAAATTCGCGGCGATCGGGCGATAAAAATCGCTCGTGTGCCCCTACCTTAAGAACTGCCTGTGATATGACTGGAATGCATTAAAGTTTACATGCAACAAACGAAGCAAATGCCTAGCAGAAATTCCTCATTCTCGAGTCATAAAATTACTAAAATAATTATGCTCTAACATAACTCATTATGATACTAAAACTAATACGCATCATTACATAATTATTGCAACAATCAGCGAGTGATCTACGTTTAGATAACCGATTTTAATTATGTTAGCCGCGTACGCAACACACAATACAATTACGACGACAATTGTTGATCGGTTGATGAAAGCGTTCCGCGGCTGTGGTGTGGGCAAGTGCATATGCACTACCACCACTCGGTGTATGTAACTCCCTACGTTACAGGCTAGCGAGTGTTCACAGCGAAGCTAATAAATCCGTCACGCGTTGGATTGAACGAAATATAAATGTCAAATAAAATGTCGCCCGGAAACGCGCACATGCACGCGTCAGCGAAATGTGCATGCGCCTTTAATTGCGAGTGAATTTGAAAATCAGTGTGCGTGATCGATTTATATATCAATAATATTATATATTTTATATATTATACATTATATATTATATTTAATACATTTTATATTATATATTATATATCTATCTATCTATCGCAATTAGATAAATAAATAAATAGATAGATAGAAGAAGGTATCGATATGTACTGATGATCGATTACTTACCTGGTATTTCCTTACCGATGCTTCCTGGAAGGAACGAGGTGATCGCTCGTGAATCTTGTGAATGGGTCTAGGGAGGTCGGACGGTGTCATGGCGGAACCCCTCTCGCTCGTACCCACCTTACCCGCGCTCGTCAAAGCAACGTGATTCGAGCGGCTCGCCTTTGCTTTGGCACCTAGTGGTGCGAGAAGAAATCCCCGTGACTAGGTAGATATGACCAGGGGTGAATGATGACAAACTATGATGGCAAATTATTGACAAATAACATTTGTACGAAAAACAAAGTATTGACAAATTATTTGTCATTTATCCTTGATACGACTAGTTCGAGTTCGAGAACTCGGGAAGTCTGTCTGCCAAGAGAGACCCGATCCTATCGTGATCAGATACCCGTACATTCACTATCATTATAATAGACTATCACCATAACCATAGACCCTCGACCTGGCTCTAAACATTACATAACCTTAATCCAAACCCAACATTAATCCTAATCCTAAACTTAATAACCTAATACTAGCCCTAACACTAACACTACCCATAATTCTAACGCTAACCCATATTCTAATCTAGCCCTAACTCCAACACGTATATATATACGGGGTTCAACAGAGACACTTAAAGTAGGTTAGACCTATAGGATAATAGATAAAGTAAGAAAAATCTATCCGGCTCTTGAATAGCGCCATTGGCTGCGCCAAGAGCACATATAGCCACTATAGAATGGAAAACCTATAGTTACATGGAAATGGTTTATGCAGTCATTCCAATCGGAAACACCTACAGTAGAGCCACAATGAAAACTCCATCGCGCAACGCAACACGCAGAGAGAGAGAGAGAGATTGAGAGAGAGAGAGAGAGAGAGAGAGAGAGAGAGAGAGAGAGAGAGAGAGAGAGAGAGAGAGAGAGAGAGAAGAGAGAGAGAGAGAGAGAGAGAGAGAGAGAGAGAGAGAGAGAG